TCCCAATTATCTCCAGGGCAGAGAAGAGGGTCCTAAATAACAAAAGAGGAGTGTTTATGTCTTCAACCTTGTGATTGGCTAATGTACACATATTGTCACAGATTTCCACCAGGTCCCCTAGGGGAGTGTCCACCTTGTGGAAGACCTGCATAAATACTGGGCAGGTAGCCCATAATAAACCAGATTCCTGCTGACCTTCAATACGGAGTTTTGTCTTGTACTTGGGGGGATTTATTCGTATGGTGATTCTCGTACGGATGTTAGGGGGATGCGGGGGTGTATAATTCGTATGGTTCCTGTTCAGCTAATTGGAGTGATCGGTAGTTGCCTTCACACTTGGGAAAGGAGTCTTCTAAACGGTTTTATCCCCTTTCATACCTGGGGTACCGTAACATTCACCTATTTCCATTTTTGGAGTTCCTGATTTCAACTTCTTACATTCTGTGGGACCCAACTAATGGAAAAAACCTGCCTATCTCCCTAAAGGACTCTATAAGTTCAGAGCCAACTTTAATGGGTTCAGAAAATTGTGAGTGTTTCGAGTTTTGACTTCTTCTCACAAAATATTTATACAGATTACACTATGTTGTGTTTTATTTTTATAGGAACTATTCACATACTTTCTATCAAGTGTAATGTACATATAAGGTAAAAACTCCTTTATTGTGTGTGCTTTCACCTTTTAATCTTTACACTATATTAAAAGGTTGACTACCCCTGGTTTAGAAAAACATTGCCTCAGAGGGGATATGATAACCTTATACAAATATATCCAGTGCCAATACAAACCATTGTGTGGAAATCTATTCACAAACAGGACTTTACATAGGACACAAGGTTATAAGTTTAGACTTGAAGAAAGAAGATTTAATCTAAGGCAAAGGAAAGGTTTTTTTTACCGTCAGAACAATAGTGGAATTCTCTGCCTGAAGAAGTGAAGAAGTCCATACAGATGTTAGGGTAATAGCTTCTTGATCCAATGATAAATCTGACTGCCATTCTGGGGTCGAGGGATTTTTTCCCCTAGATTGGCAGTGCTTCAAACAGTTTTTTTTTTTGCCTTCTTTTGGATCATCAGCAAAAAACAAACGTGGGAAAGACTGAAATTGATGCCTTATTTCAGCCTATGTAACTAAACTAAACAAATGTTTCACCCATTCACATCTAGTTTTTAATATATAGGAACAGAGTCAAAAACCACTCTTATAAATCTCACACTATATGCCTTGTTACTGATTCACTGTAAATGATGTAAACAGTTCGCTTTGCAAAGTTATTCCTTTTAAAAAATTGATAGGCATATACAGAACATCCAACTTAAAAATTAGTTATTCAGGACATCAGCAAACAGCTTCAATCTTCTATAATTCTTCCCTATTTAATTTTTTAGTCTTGACCAAATCATCAGTTTGTTCGCCTACTTCAATGAAAGACAGGATGAGTATGTACCACAATAAAAAAACATACTACATTGTAAAAATGCACATTTACAAAAGAGAACTTAATTTACAGTCTTACAGACAAACAACCTATAGCTTGCAAGTCTCATACACAATTTTGATGTTTTAAATATTTGCAGACTGGTGTGAACTTGATGCCAAGAGCTGTTGTTTTAGATCAAACCAAGTGTTTGCATGAGTATCTGCTCCTGTCCAAATTGTTTAAAATAGAATGCATGCATGATGAAGTAAATCCCACTGAGAAACAGGTTTTAGGTATGTGAAAGACTTTGGAATCCTTTTAATCAGGGATGCGGGGAGCCCCTTATAAAGGCAGAAATACATCATATGCAAAACATGAGATAACAGAGAGAATATATATTTAATTAGTAGATGCTAAGTGTCTTATCTACTGTACCAAAGTGTGATGTCACCATCATCCTGTCACCATGCAGCTTCTCTCTGGAGACGCCATCTTAGTACATGACATTCTTTACATTTTTTACATGATGGGAGGGGTGCAAGCAGCCATTTTGAGCAGTTAATGAACACATGATGGGAGGGGGTGCTCTAGCAGCCATTTTAAGCAAATAGACATTTTACTAACATTAATTTCCATCCATAACAGTCCCCCCTTAAAATGACTATTTACTAACAATAACAATAAGCATCTAAACATCTAAATGTGTCCCTAAGAGGCTGCAGCACATCTGTCCACATCTGTGATTAGGCAGAAAGAGGCTAAGCAAGTTATAAGTAACTCTTTTGATGCTGCGCATAAGATGAGCGGTGACTTGTCCACCAACCCCCTCGCTACAGACTTTGCCCGTAAAGACAGACGCGATCCCTAACATCCCTAAAATAAATTAGCTCTGTTACTGGTGGGAAGGGACTGCTTAGGGCACATTTACTTATTCTTTATCGTATAAGTCCGGTCTCATGCTACCTCAGTACAGGTGGACTCAGATCATTTATTCAATATTAATATCACCACAAACTCAAGATGAGCAGATGATCCTGAAAAAGCTTTGACCGTGCGTTGGCACCTCAGCTTCCGGATGTAAGGAGTACTTCCAATTCTTTTTGAATTTTTTTTCGAGGTCTCCTTTCTGTCCAAAACAAGGACAGAAGGTGCCTGTAGCAAGTGTGTTAAAAAATGATAAGCTTAGAGTCATTTAGGGAAAAAGATCCATGAACTTGTGGCAATAATGGCAACTGATAGTGTAGATTTAGTCGCTGTTACTTATACATGGTATAGTGAGAAAAATGACTGGGACATAGCAATACCAGGGTACTCTTTATTTAGAAAAGATAGGGAAGGCAAGAAAGGGGGAGGAGTGGCCCTGTATTTGAAGGATAGCATAAAATCTAGCCTAATAAAAGTTAGTGAGACAAACATAGAGTCCGTTTGGGTTACGTTAGAATTTGGTAATCACACAGTAACTCGTGTAGGTGTGATTTATAGGCCCCAAGGACAAATTGAAGAGTTAGATAATCTACAAGTTGAGGAAATAGCTAAAATGACAATGAAGGGGGAAGTTATCATCATGGGTGACTTTAATCTTCCTGATGTAAATTGGAAAACAAAATTAGCTACTTGTACCAGGAGCACACATATGCTAAACTCACTACTGGGATTGTCTCTAAAACAGGTTGTTGAAGAGCCAACTCGTAAAGAGGCCATACTAGATTTAGTGTTAACAAATGGAGATTTGGTATCAGATATTATTGTAGGTGAAAGTTTAGGATCCAGTGATCATCAGTCAGTGTGGTTTAATATAAGAACAGTGACTGAGTCACAGCACACAAAAACAAAAGTTTTAGACTTTAGAAAAACAGACTTTTCTAAAATTAGAATATGTGTAGAGGAGTCATTATCAGACTGGAGCAATTTAAATGGAGTCCAAGAGAAATGGGATTATTTAAAAGTTGCACTATTGAAGGCAACAGAAAATTGCATTAGGCTTGTCAGTAAAAGCAAAAAATTCAAGAAACCACTGTGGTACTCCGCAGATGTGGCCAAAATAGTTAAAAACAAAAAGTTAGCATTTAGGAATTATAAAAAAACCCAGAGTGAGGAAGACAAAATGATCTATAAGATTAGGCAGAAAGAGGCTAAGCAAGTTATAAGAGCTTCCAAATCACACACAGAAGAGAAAATAGCACAGTCAGTAAAAAAAGGGGGACAAAACATTTTTTAGATACATAAATGAGAAAAGAAAAGTAAAACAAGGATTAGTTAGATTAAAAACAAAAGAAGAAGGTATATAGAAGAGGCTAAAGGTCTAGCTGACTGCCTCAATTAATATCTTTGTTCTTTATTTACAGATGAAAATGAAGGAAAAGGATAAATGAGTCATTTATTACACGTGAGTTTACAGAGGAAGAGGTTCTATTTCAACTGTCAAAAGTAAAGACAATGGGACCTGATGGAATACACCCAAAGCTATTAAAAGAGCTTAGTGGTGTACTAGCAAAACCATTAAGAGATTTATTTAACCAATCATTGTTAACAGGAGTAGTCCCAGAAGATTGGAAGTTAGCGAATGTTGTGCCCATTTACAAGAAATGTAATAGGGAGGAGTCGGGCAACTATAGGCCAGTAACCCTTACTTCAGTAGTGGGGAAAGTGATGGAAACCATGTTAAAGGATAGAATTGTTGAACATCTAAAAACACATGGATTTCAAGATCAGAGACAACATGGATTTACTTCAGGGAGATCATGCCAAACTAATCTTATTGATTTTTTTGATTGGGTATCTAAAATTATACAGAAAAAAAGACAGAGTATATAGGGTGTTGAGATTACTCAACTCCCCAGACTCTGTGAAGGTTACAAGAGGTATAAGGGGCTTAACCCCAGCAAACTATAAAGAAAAAAAGGAGAAAATGAACTGGAAGACCACCAGAATAAGATATACAGGTGGAAGACCTGTTCATTCATAAAACTATACCTCTCAAAAGTAAATGTACTATATACAAAGGGTTCTAAGACCTTTAATGGAAAAAGACATACATATTAAAATTATATATATAACTGGCTATAAAGATTGCCAGAGAAAAATTCCCCTAAGGGGTGTTCAAGTAAGTGAGATAAGTATTCACAGATATTAACTAGAACGTATCCCCAATGTAGATTCTATAAGTTACCTGGCACAAGGAGCACTGTATGAGAAAAAACGGAAAAAAGAAATAATGTCTATACACAGTAGCCAAGTCCAGGACTTAGTATCAGAGCAGAAAGGGGGAGTAGAGGTAGGGTTAAATAATGTATCCTGGTAGTGAGAGTGTCCCTGGGTGTGGTGAGACAGCTGCAAATACGGGTTAAATATGCTAACAACGGGCAGGATGAGTAATGTAAATGTTAAGCTAGTAGCTAGAAGCTAGAGCTGCTTAGTTTCAAAAACCTCAAAATACACCACTCTTACGCCCCAGCTGGCCCTGAGCTGCTAGCTGCCTCCCAAAATACCAGGGAGATCAAAGTAACTACCTGCTGCTTCAAGGCAGCCTAAAAACTATCCCTACTACCCCCAGTCCTATCTGCCTAAGCAGACCCTAAACGGTCATAAGGTAAACAAGAGGGTCGTCTAGTTAGAAAAAAAGGAAAATCAAAAAACACAAAAAGAACTCAAAATAAATGCATCGGCATTTCTAATTTGCTCATGGGATAGAAATGCCGATGCATTTATTTTGAGTTCTTTTTGTGTTTTTTGATTTTCCTTTTTTCTAACTAGACGACCCTCTTGTTTACCTTATGACCGTTTAGGGTCTGCTTAGACAGATAGGAGTGGGGGTAGTAGGGATAGTTTTTAGGCTGCCTTGAAGCAGCAGGTAGTTACTTTGATCTCCCTGGTATTTTTAGAGCTTGTAGCTCAGCATCTTGAGCAGAGATTGATGAGGGAAGTGGGGAGGGATGCTTGGAGTACTTTATCCACTTAGTGACAGCAAATCCAGTACGGTATCTGTGACGAGAGCAATCTCGCCACATTGCATTGGAGAAGCCTGGTTGCTCGCCTGTTGCCGTTGGACTATGGCCCCATGTTAAAAGCCTTCTTTTCCCTTGCAGAAAAGGCTTATTTAACTGGATGCCTGTTCATTCAGTAGTTTAAACCGTATGAACTGCATTACCCCAGATAGCCATCCCGTGGAGTCTATTCGGATGGAGAACAGACTTTGTGAACACTTTAACTCCACGGCGATTGGACTGTGTGCATAGGATCTGAGCGCTACTCGGTACTTTTGTGCGCTCAGATCTAAGCTATCTGGGGATATGTAGAATGTATATGTTTTGTGCAACAGTTGTAACTTTATGCATTTTTATGTCTTTTACTGTCTTTTACTGCCATGTGGTTAATGGCGATTTGCCTTTGTCTTGGGAGATAATTGAATTACTTCTCAATTATCTCCAAGGCAGAGGGGAGGAAGCCAGGATGTATTGTGGGAATACAATGTGACTGTGTGTCCTATTTGTCTACTTGTCTGTCCTTTGTTACAGTCTCCCATTTGGTCCCCTAGGGGAGTGTCCACCAGGTGGGAGACCTGCATAAATACTGGGCAGGTAGCCCTCATTAAACAGACCACTGCTTGACCCTCAACACGGAGCCTTGTCTCGTCTTTGGGGGGATTTACTGTATGCTGATAGAGACTGATTGCCAGGAGTGTAAGCCGCTTGGGTGCTTTTCCTGTTCGTCTGCTAGCAGCGATTCGTGAGGTTCCAGTTCGGGTGTTTGGAGCATTCCCTTGTATGCAGTTCGGGTGTTTGGAGCATTCCCTTGTATGCAGTTTGGGTGTTTGGAGCATTCCCTTGTATGCAGTTCGGGTGTTTAGAGCATTCCCTTGTATGCAGTTCGGGAGTTTGGTGTTCTGCAGTAGCTGTGCCTGTGTAGGTGCTTAGGCAGTCATTACCATATGCAGAGTTGATCAGGCTCACTGCAGGCCTGTCCAGTGCCTTTTAGGTCGGCTGATGTCGGGTACAACCCGGAGCCCCAAATTGGGCGCCAATTGTTTTAGCTCAAACCAAGTGTTTGCTTGAGTTTCTGCTCCTGTCCAATTTGTTTAAAATAGAATGCATGCATGCTGAAGTAAATCACACTGAGACACAGGTTTCAGGTATGTGAAAGACTTTGGAATCTTTTTAATCAGGGAGGTGAGGAGCCCCTTGTAAAGGTAGAAATACTACCTTTGCAAAACATGAGATAACAGAGAGAATACATCTTTAATTGGTAGATGCTAAGTGTCTTATCTACTGTACCTCCTCCAAAGTGTGATGTCACCATCATCCTGGGTGTAGCTTCTCTCTGGATACGCCATCTTAGTACATGACATTCTTTACATTCTTTACATGATGGGAGGGGTGCTAGCAGCCATTTTGAGCAGTTAAGGAACACATGATGGGAGAGGTGCTCTAGCAGCCATTTTAAGCAAATAGACATTTTACTAACATTAATTTCCATACATAACACTGTCACATGTCATCATTCACATGCTCTGTGTGACTTTACTCACATCTCTCAGAATGTGACATCATCGCCTGATGTGCTTTGCTTGCAAGCATTCTCAATGCTACTTTCAGAAGCACCATGATTTTTAAATCCTCTGATTAGTGTGACCTCCAGTAATGTAATTCACTAAAAAAAATCTTCATAAGCCTTTATCGTTTGTAATAATGTGAAAATTGCTGGAAGGAGATTTGAAAGGTTAGAAAGGAGAGTTTTCGAGACACAGCTATAAAATTGGCAAAATATTAAAATAACAAACAGGATTAATGCATTAGATTGCATAATCCCATCAATAATAAAAGTATTATTCTCTAATTGGATATATTGCATTTGCAGACACTGATTTCTAGTGATATGACAAGAGGAGCGTATGCCGAACTGGAAGCATAGCTAACTTAGAGAATGTTTCCAGTTTGACTATTTTTTTCCCTATGTGTAAATTGGATAGTTAGAGCAGTGGTCATGTCACTACCTTAGAACCAGGAAGCACAGGTATGAATATTGTATATATTTGGAATATTGTAAAATGCTAATAACAAAAATCCTTATGATTATTTTGCCTTGAATTCTCACTTTCATGTATTACCCTGTCTATCAGCAGTCTGTATGTATTGAGCAGTCTATGTGTGCATTCAGCAGTCTATCAGTGAGCATTCAGCTGTATGTGTATTTATTAAGCAGTGTGTGTATGTGTGTGTTTGTGTATTCAGCAGTCTGTATGTATTGAGCAGTATGTGTGTATGTATTCAACAGTCTATTTGTGTGTGTGTGTATGTATGTGTGTGTATAGCAGTGTGTATGTATTTAGTAGTGTGTGTGCATTCAGCAGTCTCTGTGTGTGTTTTAGCGGAGATCTGATACCACGACTCGATATCTCTTCTACTCCTTCCTCGAAGCTGAAAGAAGCACTGTAACAATCCAAGACCTTTCTCCCCCAGCAACTAGATGACACAGTTCTGGGAGTTAACTGATTTTTTTTTTGCCACACGGCTTTTATGTACTGACCCCTAGCATGGGGTCTCCACATCAAAATTACAAGGGTTTACTCCTAGGAGCCTCTGTGTGTGAGAGATAATTGAGTCAGAAAACTGTAAATCAATTATCTTTCAGTTATAGGAAAAAATACAAAAATTACAAATCAGCCCCAAAATACATCATTATAACATTCCTACCCCACACAAGTTATATCACTGAATAGTTTGATTTTAAGCACCCACTTTGGTGAAATAGCACTCAGATCCCTTTGGTAGTGTGGAAATGCCATTCAAATGAAGGTTTGACTGCTCGGCCATGAGGTGATGTCCCAAAATAGTACCACAGAAAACAAGGCAATGACCGATCATCTTTCGGGGGTTCTCATACGAATACCGAGAACTGCTCTCCCTGGCTGTTAGGGAATGAATGTTCCCCACTGTCTAGAAGTTAATGTCTCCTGTACTTCATTCTCATAACTGTTCGGGAAGTTGGGTAACAGTGGTACAAGTTCCTGGGTCTTCGCCGTCGATGACCATGTACCACTACCTGCATTCAGGAGACAAAAGGGCCACCAATTCTTGGAGCACATGTGTTCGGTTATACAAACGGCGGCCACACAGGGAAAACACTTGAAGTAATGGCTAATTTGTAGTTAACAGCCAGGGGTGGTCGGTGATTATGAGGTGTTACACGGGTACCAAACCAAGTTGGTTCGGTAAATGAACGAGGGATGTACGAACAGTCAAACAAAAGGAATAAAAGTCTGTTTAATTAATCCATTCTGCTACATGTATATTCAGCAGTCTATGTGTGTATTCAGCAGTCTGTGTATGTATTCAGTAGTCTATCAGTTAGTATTTGCAGCTGCTTATTTCAACCACATTCCTTTCAGTGAAAGCAGACAAGGAGAGAGAATTGCACTGTCTCTATTTCTCCAGGCTTTTTTCCAGCATATCAGTTTAAGGAAACAGATTGAATGCATGGCAGTAGTGATGTCCCGAACTGTTCGCCACAGTTCGCCACAGTTCGCCACGGTTCGCCACGGTTCGTCGCTAACGGTTCGCCACGGACTCCAGTCAGCAGACACATTCCAGCCAATCAGTAGCAGACCCTCGCACCTCCTGGACAGCTCACTAAGAATGCAGCTTCAAAATGGATGCTGTCCAGGAGGAGGGAGGGTCTGCTGCTGATTCTCTGGAATGTGTCTGCTGACTGGAGTCCGTGGTGAACCGTTAGTTGCGAACCGTGGCAAACCGTTCGCGAACCGATCGGCAAACAGTTCGGGACATCACTACATGGCAGCAGTTGCAAATTGTATATCCTGCTGCTGCTAATTTCTGATAATCTGGAGAATAGGGACTGAGCACTGCATAGTTTCACTCACTATACATTATGATTTTCAATGCATCGTATGTTGCCAGCCATTTTGTATTGTAAATTTGAATAAATA